ATTTGCAACCACCAATCCAACTCTACAGAGAATACTGCAGGACATTCTAGAGACAGAGAAAAGTACTCAGATTCCAGGAACAGTGGCAGAGAGGCCTCAATGAATGGAGCAGAAAACAGAATAAAGACGATAAGCAGACAACTCATGTCAAAAAAAGAGCATAACAGAAATGAGGCAGAGAAGATTTTATTCAAAACTGATGTGATTGATAGTATCAAGTCTGAGTATAGGCAACTACACTGAAGATGACAAGACTCTATGATACACATTCTGCTTTGATAACTGCTGGTTTTTGAAGTTCTATACTATATACAAAGTTGTGTTTTTTATTAGTACTGTTATGTACTGATATATTCAATTATCCTATGTCTGATGATATAGCCAATTCTATTGGAGATAACAAGAGACAACACAGCAACCATGGTATAACTCTTTGTGCAATGGTCTTATATGTTTATTTCATTACATGTGTTTATAGGAATATGTTTTGTTTTGCCTTGCTTTGTTTTGTTTCTCCCTCTAATATAGAAAGAATAGAAATACATGTTAAGACTCATGCATGTGTACAATCTATAAACAGTTTATGAGAACTGACCTTGTGACATATGATGAAATGAACAGATATGCTGAAGAAAAAGAGACACTAAAATACCCAGTGCTGATCCTGGAGTGTCATAATGTGAAACCCAGCAATAGTATTATTCTTTGTTCAGAGTGATATTAGCCTGCTTGGGTTTATTCAATCTCAACACAATTGAAGATATGGATAACTGCATGTATGTTTAAGTATATAGGATTGATAACCATACTTCTAAGTTTTTGTTGGATAGTTGAACAGAACTGGTTGAAATCTCACTGTTTGAATCCCCACTTTATAAGCTCCACTTTAGTATCTTACAAATAGAATAACTATTTGTAAGAAGACAATCTGTAATCATCAACTAGTGATTTCTGTGTTTATTTTTTACTTTGAAATTATGTATTATTTCTACCCATTTTGTGTTTTGTTTAGTCTTTCTTTAAATTAAATTAAAAAAAAAAGACACTGCAGTACCCAGTGCTGATCATGGAGTGTCATGATGTGAAATCAGCAATGCTATTATTCTTTGTTCTGAATGATTTTAACCTGCTTTAGTTTGTTTAATCTAAACATAAATGAAGCTATGGATAACTGCATGTATGTTTAAGTGTATAGGATCGACAACCATGTTACTAAGTTTTTGTTGGATAGTTGAACAGAACTGTTTGCAGTCTCGCTGTTTGAATTCCCACCTTACATGTTCCATTTTTGTAACTTGAACAACTATTTGTAAAACGACAATATGTAAACATCAACTAGTGATTTCTTACTGTTTATTTCTTCTCTGAATGTATTATTTCTACCTATTTTCTGTTTTGTTTAGTTTTCTTCAAATAAAATTTTTTTAAAAAGAAAAAATTTAAAAAAAAATTTTTTTAATAACGTGCATGGCCTTGTGGTTGCCTGTCAACTGAACAGCGGGATCATTTATACTTTCAGTGAGTGACTCCATTTGTGATTGTGATATCTTACATCTTGAATATTTTTAGTTTATCTGTGAAGACAAACTAAGTTAATTGCTCTTAATAAATACCCTAACTTTATGTGGGCATACATTGGGAAATGAGTAGGATATATTTGCAAACTTTAAGCTATAAATGACACCAAAATGTTTCTGATTATGTTTCAAATAATTATTTTGTTTTGTGCATGGGGGCAGGGTCTCCCTATGTAATGTAGGCTGGCCTTGAACTCACCTATGTAGCCCAGGCGGGTCTCCATTGAACTTATGCCATCCTCCTATGTCAGCTTCCTGAGTGCTAGAATTATAGGTGTGAGCCACCAGGCCTGGTCATTCAAATATTATGTTTCTGTTTTTGTTTCTTGAGACAGGGTCTCATGCAGTTCAGGCTGGCCTTGAGCTTGATTTTGAACTTGCTAGTTCAAAACTTGCAAGGCTGGTTTTAAACTTGCAATGATCCTCCTGCCTCAGCCTCCCAAGTGCTGGGATTATATGCATGTCCCACCATGCTTGGCCATTCAAATACTTTTAAGGAAACTGTTTTATTTCCTGGAAGATGATATTGCTTTTCTGAATTCTAATTTGAGCATTATTTTTGTAAATAAAGGCCAAAAGAAAAAAATTCTAATGAAAGCATTTAATAGGGACATTTCTTTACATATCATTTGCTATTTCATTTTAACAAACATTCCCTGAGATCATTTAGTAGTAAGTGTTGTGGAAAATGGAAAAATGAATATGACAATGTCGCTGTTTTTCAAGACACAGAAGGTAGTATAATCGAAGAAACACTTTATCCATTTTACCAAAACTAATAAAATAGGGGAATTTAAAGCAGAATCATAGGAAATGAGGAGAATGTAGGAGCTGAAAAAGAGGTGTGACTGCAATACAAGATGGGAAGAAAGGAGTATGTGAGAAAAAATTCAGGAAAGGTGAGCGAGACATTTCAGTTGTGAACCACAGAAACCAGTGCCACTACTTTGGAAAGACAGGCACTTACCCGAGGCCATGATGGTGAGGCTGTCAGCTCGACACCCTTTCCTGGCCTGGCCTCTTCCTCACCCAGAATCCATTCATCCGCAGGTGTTTCTCCACTTTCTTCCCTCCTTTTGCAGATGGGCACTCCCCGTGCACATGGTGGGCAGACGGCCACTGGGGGCCTCCGGGCAGCCCCATGACCCGACAGACAAGACACTTGCCTGTCCATCTCTTCAAACAGGAAGAGAGGGATGGCTGATGAGCTGGGTCACACATCCACGCCTGGATCAAACACTGTGCCTGAGACCCGGGTGCCAAAGGCAGTGGAAAAGGATTAGCACTGATCGCGTGTTTCCCTGTCACTTAGAGGTAAGGACAGTCTTCCTAAAAGAATTAGGAGTGCTGAGAAAAGAAAAACAAAGGGATATCCATGCAGGAAGGCAGTAAACTGGAGCACCTCAAATGTCAGTCTGAACTCATTCTGGCAATCAAGGTCAGTTAACGTTTGGAGTAAAGATGTGGCATGTATGAATTTAAAAAGGTGGGCGGTCCTAATATAAACTATGGACTTAGGTGACTATGATGCCTTTCATATAGATTCATGGATTATGACACTTATACCACTGCCGTGCAGGATGTTGACAGCAGAACAGAGTGAGCATATGTGGTGGTGAGGAGTGTATGAGAACTCTGTACTTTTTGAAGTTTTTGTTTTGTTTTGTTTTGTTTTGCGGAGGGGAGGGCACGGGAATTGAACTCAGAACCTCATGTTTTCCAGGCAGGCACTTAGCAACTTATCAAGAACCAGTCTCAAAATAAATAAAAATGGTCTGAGGCTGTAGCTCAGTGGAAACATCTTGGGTTCAAGCCACAAGACTTCAAAAATAAATAAACTGACAAACAGCAAAATAAAATAAGCTAACTGCCAGAAGCTGCTCAGTGGAGAATATTCTTGGCCCTGAACCTGTCATTTTTTTTCTGATACTGAGAATCTATACTAGAGACAGTAAATAAATTCAGTCACTTTGCAAACATGGCTTTTTAGATGCATTTTATTTGCTGTTTTGGTGTGTAACATACAGTGAAAAAGCAACAACACATAGATCCTGATCTCAGACTTCGAAGACTGATGTACATTTTATCAGAGTGTGTGGTCACATGGAACTTTAAGGAACTTGCCTGAAGTCATCACAGAATCCAGGACCACACTGTAGGTAGAGCTCTGAATAAAATTGTGTGGGTATAAGACTCAGGAACCTTGACATTCAGAATGTGGCACCTCCTTAGGGATTTCAACCCAGACCAATGGGATTCCAAATCTGCATTTTAACAGGGATTGCCACTTTACACAACCTTGGAAGATTCTTCACATGCTGAATTTTGAGAACTGCTCATCTAACTGGAAGACTGATAAATGTATACTGGATGGCAGCACAGCATGGTGAGCTTGTTTGCAGAGGAACAAACGAGTTCTCCTTCGGAACAGGCTTGGTCAGGTTTTCAGGAAAGGTGTGAGGTCATCTGGTTTCTTCTTAAAGAGCACAGAGAAATTAACCAGGCAAGTAGGTGGGGTAGGGATGAGAGACCTCATCAGAGGGAACTAACTGCTCATCTAACTGGAAGTCTTGAGGCAAGAGAGAATGCTACAAGTTCAAATAACAACAAAAAATGCACTGCAAATTACAACATGTACTGCAAATTTTAAAAAGTTTATTCTGAATATCAACCAAGAGATTTTTTTAAAATGCCCAGTAGTTAAAGATTTTGCTTATTAATTTTTGAGGGTTGGTGTTGGAATCAGATTTTGCAGTTTTCACGATGTTGCTTTCTCTGACACCTGACATTTTCTTGTTGCATCGTTTATTCATTCATTCAAACATACACACACTGGGCTCTGTGAGGTTCCTATCATCTGCTGGTGAGTGAAACCATAATGTTCTGGACTGAGGAAATGTATAGAGGAGACTGAAGTGGAAGGGCAGAAGCCAATAAAGCCGAGAAGTGAACGTGTATTTATGAATGGAGCAGAGGCAAAGAACAATGTTATGATGGAGGACAAAGTGGGGAACTGCAAAGCGGCCAAGTCACCGGGGGTGTAAGCTGGAGGAACCAGTGCAGGACGCCTTGCACCCCATCTCTTGGTAGCGCACACAGCTTTCTGGTTTGGTAGGAATCTGCAACCTTCCCTCAAAGCCACTCTCTTCTAACCTGTTGGATGCAACAGGAAAGCCTAATTAATGAATTTATTAGGAGAGTCGCAACTTGCCCCGAGGCGCACTCTCGGGTCCCACCAGTGCTGCTTTAGGAGAGCTCTCTTCACTGAGTAATGTCTTAGACAAGGAGGCTGCAAAAAAGTGAGCTGGTCCCGGTGTGTTCCGAGGGACGATCCGCAATTACAAACACCCCTTGGTGTTGGAAGCAGCAGGGAGGAGACCCTGCAGCGCAAACCGTCGCTTTCACGGGATAGGTACTAAAAACTGCCTGAGAACACAAAAGCCAGTAGCCCAGGTCCGGCCTGGCCGCCCGGTCTCCCGCGGGAGAGCCGCGTTCTCGGCGGCCGGGAACCTTGTGTGCCCGGGTCTGGCTGCCGGGCGGCGCGCAGGGAAGCTTTTCAGCGTGGGACCGCGAGACGCCGCTTGTAAACAGAGCCGGGTGGGTGGTCGGATGCGCTGTGGCGGCTGAGCAGGTGGAAGCGCTGGCGGCCTCCAGGAAGCCCGCAGGCCCCGCAGGTGAGGGGGACGGGCCGCCGGGGAGCACCTGCCGGCTTCCGGCCGGCCGGGGGGCGGGGAGGGAATGGGGACGGTGACAGCGTCGTGCGGGTCCCAGAGGCGCCCTGAGGCAGCGGCGACGGTGCCATTTCTCCCCTGCGGGGTGTTGTGTGGAGACCGCAGTGCCTCGCAACGGGCAGCGAGCGGCGGCCACGGGCTGCGTCGTGGGCTCGTTTTGGGGAACCAGGTAAATCGAGAGTAGAACGTATGGTGGCCGCGAGGGTGGTCCTGCGCCGGGCGCCGTCGTCGTCCCCTCCCCAGGTGGCGGAGCTGCAGCTCAGCCCAGCACCCGGGACCCGTGGTGTTGTCTGCGTTGCCCGCTTTAAATGTATGGCAGATGACATCACATGACCGGGACAGGCGTGGGTGGGCCTGGTATGAGAGAATCACTAAGCTGGAAAATCAAGACAAGGACGTCTCAGACCCATCCCTTCAGTAAAATAAACTGCTACGGAGATAGGCAATCGGGTGACAAATCGAGACTGGCCACTATGCACACCTTGCAGAGCAAAGCAAGTTTGAATTTACTAGGTTAAACCTAGTCATGCCGTTATAAACTTATTTGGAAGGTTTTTCAGCCGCAGACTTTGGAAGGAGAGAGAAACATCTGGGTATTTTGTTGTTCCAAATTTCAGTAATCATTGTGAATCATGGTTTGTGTTTAATTAGTTTGTTATAAAATATCACATGTACTTGATGTGCCTGTAAAATGCTAAGTAATTTTTGTTTCATTTGCTTGAAAGATATTCCTTAACTAAAACTTGACAGTGGTCCTTGGATGCTTAATAAAAGTATGTCATCTTGATTACAGAGCCTTTTAGGTAGAGGGTAAATACTAGGTTAATTATAGGAGAAAAGTGAAGTCATGCACCGAGAAATAATCTTAATGCCTGATAAGTGTGTCTTTCCCATAGTTTTTCATGATGTCATGGTTCTCAGCAAGAACTACAAAGCCAGGCTTGCAGAGTCTAAATTCCTGCTTGGCCGCTTCATCATATCGTCTTAGGCAGTTCACTCATCTTTGCTATGTTTCTCAGTCTGTGAAATGAGAACAATAACTATATTGACCTCAGAGATTTTTTATGAGGATTCAATATTTCTAAACAATATTTAGAAATGCTTAGAATAGTGCCTAGTATGTTGAAATGACTAGGTAATTTTTTTTTAACAAATACATCAAATAAAAATATACCAAATTTGAAAAGTCGAATGGTGATTACTGAGAACGGAGGGATGAGTTGTTTAGTGGGTATAGAGTTTCAGTTTTACAGGTGAAGAGTCTTCTCGGGACTTGCACACCCACGGGGAAAGTACTTAATGGAATGGGTCACTTAAAAATGATTAAGGCAGTAAACTTAATGTCACGTGTATTTTACCCTAATTAAAAATGTAAAACAGCAGTGTTAACAAAGTTACATACTCAGAATCTTTGTCCGTAACATCTTGTCTACAGTTGCTTTTGCCATTGGGAATAGATAGCTTCTAGCAGTCACCAGGAAGATACATTTATTCATCATGGAATTGAGATTTATAATAAATTATGAGAAATGAAACTTAATATTGTGGCAGACACAGTTCTAAAAATGCCCTTCCACCAGGATTGTTTGCCCTAATCCCTAGAATTTGTGCATAGAGTAAGACAGCACTCCCTGGACTGTGTTATACTGTGGTACAGTTGAATTTAAAATGGGAGATTATCTTGGTGGACCTAATTGATCACAGGTACCTATGATAAGAAATCAGTGATTTGAAGGCTGACAAGATTTAGAGCGTTGCTGTTTTAAAGGTGGACGGGTACCACTGAGAAGGAACTTACTGCCTCAAGCAATTTGAAGGCCTCTCATTACTGAGCATGACAACTGGGATAGAAATGGGAATCTCAGCCCAAATCCCTGGAACTGGATTCTGTCGATAGTCTAGATGAGCTTGGAACAGGATTCGTCACCAGAGGCCAGCCAGATCTTAATTTCAGCCTCACAAGATTGACCTGGGAAACTCAGATTTCTGGCCTTGAGTATGATGAGATGATAAATTGGTGGTGTTTGAAGCTACTTGGGATGTGGAGATTTGTTTTGCAGTGATAGGAAACTAATACAGACCACCTCATCAGGGCCGACGATTAGAAATAGATGGAATAATCTGGGTCCTGACTGTCCTGAAGGCCCGGATGTTAAAGACTTGGTCCCCAGGGTCTCAATGTTGGGAGATAGTGAAACTTTTGAGAGGTGGGGCATCTTTGTGTCAGGGGTGAGCCCTGTAAGGTGTTGGGAGACTTAAGCTCTTTGTTTGCTCTCTTTTTGCTCCCTGACTAGTGATAAAAGTAGTTTTCATCCACTGTGCACTTGGCTGTGATGTGCATCCTTGCCACAGGGCCAAGTAGGAGCTAAGTGATCATAAACCTCCAAAACTGTGAGCCAAAATAAACCTTTTCTCTTTATAAGTTGATTATCTCAAGTATTTCGTGATAGTGACAGACAACTATCACACTATCCATAGAAAAGAAAATCAAATGATGAGTAAACTATCAGTGCATTCTTTACATTAGTCAAATGACAGCTAAAACAATAACAAGGTACCAGTTTTTCAGCTCTGTAACATACATTTCTAAAACTTCCGATTCTTACCAAGCATGGTGGAGCACATCTGTAATCTCAGTACTAGCGTGGCTAAAGCAGGAGGACTGCTATAATTTTGAGACCAGCCTGAGCTACATAGTAAATTCAAGCCAGTCTAAACTCACCCCAACCTCCCAGTAAATAGATGTTCTAATTCTCTGTATGAGTCAGCATGCAGTGGAATAGACAATTTTAAATGTTATGAAAAGCACACAATTGTTATAACCTTTCAGAGAAGTACAGTACATTGGTTAAATGTATAAAAAGCCTCAATAATGTTTCTACCCTGTGACCCAGTCATTCATTTTCTGGGAATCTATCCAAAAGAACTTATGAGAAGTATTTGAAAGGTTAGTGTTCAAAGATGTTCAGTATAACCTTGTTTAGAAAGGTGTTGTAAATAACCAAAATGCCCAGTAACGGGGAAACAGTTAAATTATGGTGCCATTGAAAGACAGGGTGTTAAACAGGCATTAAAAGGGTGCTTATAGAGAATCCCATAGAGGGGAAATGTAGTGGCAGTTATTGCTACACGGAGGAGAACACACTAGAGAACTGCACATACAGGCCATCTCATATAGGACTGGAAAGGGCCAAAGAGGCAACGCAGGGCGCTGCTTTTCCCAGTGGAGGATGGATTAGTATTGCTTATTTTTCCTTTTTTCTATAGTCTCAAAATGTTAAACAGTGTCTTTCTGGTATTTTCTTGTAATCACAAATATTAAAGGATGTCAACATTGTGGAGAACACAATGAATCTGAAACATTTTACTAATTTTGCATTGCTATCTCTGTTGTAATAATGAAGACAAAAAATTCATAAATATGTGGCCAAAATTTTTCTTACACAGGGAGGAAACAATAAATCATAGTGGAAAGATAAAAAATTAAGCTGGGTTGTATCTCCCATGAGGTAATCATTGAGAGCTTGATGATGCAACAAGCCCCGAACATCATTACAGAAGTAACAGGAGGTGTGTGGTGGTGGGTTTCTCACAGATCAGATTTAGGCTTTGGGTCTTAGACTTAGATTTAGGCTTTTGGGTCATGCAAGTGAAAAGTAAAGAACTGTGAAGAATATGTAATCATTGCCAGAGAGACAGACAGACAAACAGACAGAGTCAAGGACAGGACGAGGAAAACCAAACTGGACCAAGGCCAATGAGTCTGTTAAAAATATCCAAGAGAGACCTAACATGCCCTAATTCTAGTCTTATGTTGGGTGTAGCCTTTTGAATTTAAGTCATTTACATATTTCAGAAGCAAACAGATAGATGGCTGCTTCTTTCATTATCCTTTCAGAGACCTAATTTTAACAGGAACCTGGAAAGGGTTAGGTCATTTGGGCAGAACTTGGGAGGATCCTCCAGCTCTAGGCAGTTCCAGCACTGCTAGCTATGGCTGGTCCTATCTGCACCTCCCATCGGCTCCCTTACTTGGCCCTGTGTGCCCATAGCCCTAGCACAGAACGCTGTCCTGCTCCAGCGGCTGCTAGCTAATGCTGATTTTGCTGCCTGGGAAATGTTATCCTACGAAAGAAAAGGTGTTGATTTATTTTTAAAGAGTAAATTTGGTATTTAGTTCATAAAGGGCTGAACTACTTTCCAGTCTCTGGTGCAAGACAAGTGATGTAGAGAACTAAGTAATGAGTGGGAGTAGGATAAAAATCACCACCAGCAGTAAAGTCCGCACACTATTTGCTGTTATTTAATTGGCCACTGTGCATCGTATCAAACACAGAAAGCTCCACATAATTTACCTTCCTGCTGACAGTAAGCAGGTGACACTTTATTTGGTCCATGAGTGTAAGCAAGATGGTAACATGAGATAGGAGTAAGAACCAGTCAGAATATAGAGTTGTTGAGCTGTGAGGCATGCTTTTTCACTTATATTTTGTTTTTCAGATGCTTATTAATTGTTAATATCACATTTATGAATATGGGAGAGATTTATTCATGTGTCCATGATTACAATTGTCACCAATTTGCAGTTCACTACAAACTGAGCTGCTCTGCTGTACACTATCCAGTTTTTTTGCGGACGTCTGGCTGAGAAACTGTTCAATATTCAGCCCACTCTGTGGTCTGTAGATGTGGTTATAAATGTTGACTTTCATTCACAAAGCAGGGACCATGGTAAAGGTTATGGATTATTAGAAATGTAGCCAGTAGTGGGTTGCTTTTTGGTACTGGGATTCAGACTTGGGACCTTGTGCTTGCCAGGCAGGTGCTTGTGTTGCTGAGCTATATTCCCGGATCTGTCAGTAGTGGTCATACCCCAGGAAATTAGCTGCCTGATCTTCCACATGTTCTGGGATCGTTTTACTAGCTTTCAACTCTTCCAGGAC